GGGGGGGCGGGGGGGTGTGCTGAGCCAACATCCCTAACTGCAGGGGGAGGAAAGACTGAGGACCAGCCAAGCATACGTCTTTTAATGAGCCGGCCACAGAGACTGAGATGTCCCCAATAAACACCGGGAGCGTGTGCACGAGTGTACACACCTGCGTGCACAAACACAGTCGTGATGTCACGCCCACATGCTGGAATGCACCGGGCGGACGTGCACACACACAAACACACCCGAACACAAAGTGATGGAGGCTCGCAAAAAAACACTTCGCAGCAAAATCAACCCTGCCCTTCCTCGAAAACATTCCTCTGAGCTCACCTCACATTTCTTTTCTTTCTTTTTTCTTTTAAGGGGCACATCCCACTCGTGCGCTCGCCCTGATATTGTCACCTGGAAACGTGATAACACTCGAGTAAACAGCGGCGCCCTGCTTCTTCGTGGGGCTGTTTACTGCTCGGCGCTCTCGGGGCAGCTTCATTTGCACAAAGCCTGTTATCTGGCAGCATAACAGCATGAATGAATAGGCTTCTGGTGATTTTCCTATAACCACACTCTGCGTTCAGATACAGCAAAACAAAGTCCACCACAGCACAGAGACAGTTTTACCCGCAGTACTTTTATCCAGGATTTAACTGGCTGCAGCTCACTGAGCTTTTTAAGCTAATCTTGAAAATATTAGAACAAGTAATGGATTCGTCCTAAAATAGAGATATATTTTGAACAAGTTCCTAAATAAAAAAAGCAAAACAAAGTGTTCAATCCAGGAACATAGCCATCAGCTATTTTGCTAAATGAAGCTTTGTAAATCCCCACTGACACCAAAATGAATACAAAGTACTCTTTAATACCAACCCTAAAATATCAAATCATAGAAAACTACAGTTCTCATCAGAGTTCTTACCTTCCTTTATGAAATTCTAGCAAATACCATAAACTTCAATAGATAAAAAGCATGACAGGATTCAGTTTTTCCTTTTCAAGAAGTCAATGTTTCACATACACAAATGATTCCTCTACCTCAGATAACCGGCTAAACTCCCTTTACCTCTTCTGCAATTAAACTATTTTTGACTTTAAGCCGTAAAACATTTTGTGAACTGAGCTGAACGTGTCTGTATCAAGC